TCTGTTGTGGGGAGGGGAAGGGAAAGGAGATTGTAAGCCACTCTGAGACTCCGAGTGAAGGGCAGGGTATAAATCCAGTCTCTTCTTCTTCTTCTTCTTCTTCTTCTTCTTCTTCTTCTTCTTCTTCTTCTTCTTCTTCTTCTTCTTCTTCTTCTTCTATTCTCCAGCTGCCAACTGGAGGTTGCCAACCCTAATGCGATTGCCAGTTACTATTATTTCTACCCTGCCGTCACAGTGCAGTTATCATTTCATCAGGCACAATAAGCAGCATTTAACTAAAGAATATACTCCGCATTGAAAGAGGCATCCAAGGCCCGAACATCTTACTGCAGATTTTCAGAGCAGTAAGCCTCTAATCTTGACTACGGAGTCTGTGCCTGCCTTATGCACCATTCTTTTTCCTCTGGTATATTTATTCTGCAGCTACAGTTAAAACAATGCACTTGTGACATGTCGGGGGGGGGGGGGTCCAAAGGTTGGGGTTTTTTTTAATTTACGCAATTGCCCAATTGCAAAGCAGAATCGAAAGAAAAGACCCAGGATTCAATGTTTACAGAACTAGAGTTTTCTTGTTGCAGAATTTTGGTTATGTCGATGCACAAGTTTTATTGTTATTGCTTTGGCCAAGGCAAGTCTCGGGTCTGGAGAGGCCCTGGAGAGAGAGGGCCCAGGGGCACCCTGTGCCTGCTACCAGGCCCCCCTTCATGCCCACCCACCAATGTTCCCTCTAAGCTCTGGAGTCTTGTGAGAAAAAATTCTCCTTTGTGAGCAACTGGCATGGGAGTTGTGAGCGAGGGATCTGGCTCCTGCATCAATTAGTTTGCTCTGGAGCCATCCCTTTCTGAGCAAAGACAAAAATGTGTGAGCCGGAGGCTTAAAAACTGTGAGCTAGCTCGCACTAACTCAGCTTAGAGGGAACACTGCCACCCACTCATGTGCCCCCACCTGCCTGTGCATTTCCCCCCTGCCCATTCACAAGCAGTCCTGCTGCCTGCAGTCACAGCTGCCCACACCATCTACACGCCCTTTTTTATGGAGCTGGGTGGTAGACTTCTTTACACAGTGACTCAAATCTGGGATTCACTGGCAGAGTATGTGGTGATGGCCATAGGAATCAACAGATTGAAAAGGGGATTAGAGAGATTGATGGAGGATAAGTCTATCAATGGCTACTAGCCATGGTGGGCTGAGGGGAAACTCCATGTTCAGAGGCAGTCAACCTCTGAATCCCAGAGCCAGGAGGCAACTTCAGGGGAAGGCCGCGGCCTCTCTGCCCTGTTGTTGGCCCTCCGGAGGAACTGGTTGGCTGCTGTGTGAGACAGGATGCTGGACTGGGTTTATTTTATTTATGTTATTTTATGAATTCAGTTTTTATCCCGCCCTCCCCGCTGAAGGTAGGCTCATCCAGCAGGGCTCTCCTGATGTTCTAATGAAGGCCTCGGCCTCTGTGCCCTGTTGTTGGCCCTCCAGAGGAACTGGTTGGCTGAAGTCGATGGGCAACTTGTCTGATCCAGCATGACTCTTCTGATGTTTTTATGGAATTGCCACTACCATGGCCACCGGGAACACCACTGGCTGCATCACTCTCACGCTGTTCCATGGAAGTGCTTGGAGCATGGAAAAAGAAGAGGAGGAGGAGGAGGAGGAGGAGGAGGAGATTGGATTGATACCCCTTCACTACCCGAAGGAGTCTCAGAGCAGTCTCCTTTCCCTTCCCCTCCCCACAACAGACACCCTGTGAGGTAGGTGGGGCTGAGAGAGCTCTTTCAAGGACTGCCCTTGAGAGAACAGCTCTGAAAGAACTTGTGACTGACCCAAGGTCACACCAGCAGCTGCATGTGGAGGAGTGGGAAATCAAACCCGGTTCTCCCAGATTAGAGTCTGCACTCCAAATCCTAACCACTACACCAAACTGGCCCTCATGAGCAGACAGGGGAAGGGGGTGAGTGTGGGCATCAGAGGATATGTGTGGGTGGGGTACTGGCAGCAGCAGCCCCCACCAGAAGCCGTGGCAGCTCCCCCACCTCAGTATATGTTGACACTGGCCCTGGTTGTCGCCCTGGATCGCCCTCTCATTTTTAGGGTGCAGTGACATCCATGAAGCAAGTTTCAGTCTCTGAATATACGCTGTACTGTAAATCCATTGATCAGACTGCTCCAAACAGACCTTGGAGACCGCCATTTGCTAGGAAGCAGTATTCACAACTGATCGAAGAAATGCCATTTACGCAGCACTCTCAGTGTTTAAAGTGCTTTATAGACTTTACCTTGCTGCCCTTTACAACACCTCTAAACACGAGCCGCAGTGCAGCCGAGGCTGGGGGGAAGCGGCTTTCCTTAGACTGCATGGCGAATTCATGGCAGATGTGAGACATGAACACAGGCCTTCCCAGATCGTTCCTTGGCTTCGTCCTTATTTTACACTGCTTGAGATGGAAACATGGGCCAGTGGGGCAGAGACACTTCAGAGCTGAAAAGCTCTGCCCCAGTTTATTACCCACCCGGGCCCCCCCCCCAGTGCCATACTGCAGTTTATGCCTGGACAGAATCCCGCATCCAAAGAGGTTGCACTCCAGCAGTCAGAGGATTTCAGGCAGTCTCGCATTCTGTTGTTGTGGTGAGACACACGCTGCAGTCGCACCGGATGGCCTTGGGATACGTGTAGAAAGGGTCAACGTTGGCCGCGCAGTGCGGCAGTCTCACGGTCACCAGCCTGGTCTCGTTGTACGTGCAGACCCGATGGTGCGCTTCGATGTACGGAGGATCCAGCACTGGTTTCTGCCCATGAGAGAGGAAAGAGAGAGACATCGGCGTAAAATTGGCAGCAGACATTTTTCATTCATTTCTCTCTTCTTCTTTTTTAACGGTCCCAAAGGACAGGATTTTATTAATTTTCCAAACAAACAATACACATACAAGTAGACATACGACATATAACATATATGCAGGTAAATATAAAAGCTTAACCATCGTGATTCAGACCTGATGGATACACCGTGTTCAACTTGAAAATCCAATAAGCTTCCATTC